GGATATGGTTTCTTTAATAGCTAATTTTCTTTTGGGGTAAGTAAAATTTTACTAGTAGCAGCAAAATATACCCTGGGTAAGTAATTAGTTGATGGCTAAATTCTACATGTGGAAATAAAATGTGACCCTGTGCAAGTACACGTTCATGCATGTATACTAACTTATACTGCATACTAAGTAGGGAAGTGGCATCATCAGTTAATGGATTGCAGGTAATTGGCCAGATTAAAGCAAGCCATCCTTGTAAATGGCTCAATACTCATCCAGTCTTTAAATAGTGATAATGAGGCAATGCATATTTCTTGTGTTAGTTTGCAAAAAAAGAAAAAAAATTAACCATCCACTAACAAGGAAAAAGAACATTTCACAACTAAATGGAAAAAAACTATAAATGCTTGAGAAAGAAAAAAATGGCAATAAGAAAGAAATGTTTCTCAAAAAGGTCAAGTGATAAAAACAATGTCACCAAATCAAGGAATCAACCACTCACCAATGACCTACCACAACTACTTCTGATAATATGTAAATGCAGACCCTCTAATGAAAAATACATATTTGATACATTAGAGCAACAAAGGACCACATAAAAGTATATACCTATCTCAATAAGAAACATACCTCCTCTATGATTCGAAAGATTTCAATTATTGATGCAGCTTGCCTTTGTTGGAAAGACAAAGGTTGCCAATCCTGTGTAAGCAAACAAGTCCTAGAATATGTATTATAGGATCTAAAAATACAATAATAAGTAATACAATGAACTAGTAAACACTTGTATTATGTAGGAAACACAAATATAAGCAGGTCAAAATAGAACTTCTTGCGATCCCAACCAATTCAATTAGTGTATGCCTCTGTTTTGCAACTGAAACCGTATAGACAATAATCCAGGGCATCATTCAATGGGATTATAATTTCGATAGTAATGAGAATGGTTTAAAAACTGAAGAAAACAGAAATTTCTATTACTCTATACAGAAAACAGACCCTACCTGATCCTTTTTTCTCCCTAATACTTTTATCATCCCCTTTATAGCTTGGTGATTTTCAGTACTATTCCAAAATTCAATTTCAAACTGAGTTCAGCATCCAGATTCTAGAATACCCATTTCTCTTGCCCAACTCTCTACCTTTTCTGTTGAGGATAGGGTTGTGTTCATAACAGAAATGATAAATTCTATGAAGGTAATGATGATTTCTATTATTCATCCATCTCCAAAATTTTTGAGAGTATCCCACTTTCTTAACTCCCCAACCCACAAAGTTTAATCCTTCAGTTCCATCCTTCACCTAATTAATCAAACAAGGTATAGACCAATGAAGAAGAATGATGATGGACCACTGCAATTAGAGTCATTTAGGTGAAAAAGTCATTGGTTGAGTTGGTGAAATCTAGAGTTATGGATGTCATTGAACAGGTCTAATAAGAAGCAAATCAGAGTTATGGATGTCATTGAACAGGTCTAACCAATCCTGATCAGTTGAGCTAATTAGTAGAGAGAGATTTTTGACAATTGCCTAATACATGTTATAGAATATTAGAAGGTTTGTTGTATACTTGCCTAAGGGCAAATTGGTCTTTTATTGCTTAACATTAAAAGGATAGATTAGTTGATTAGGACATTTAAAAGCACTAAAGCCTAACTGACATTTTTCTTCCTTCTTTTATTCTCTCGTCTACTTATTTTTCTTCATCTATTCAGATAATTAACGTCAAGTTGGTATCGGAGTGTACTCAGAAGATAGATCATACCTTCAAGGCCTTGAAGCATCTAGCAGATGTGAACAGTCCCAATGAAGTTCTGATCTCCTCTCTAGGGCAGCAGTTTCTGGAAACCTACACATATCAGGTTGGTTTATTTCCCTCTTCTGCTCAATCGGCTGCTACATTTCTCTTAGAACCCAAGATTTGGTGTCACCCAAGGGTATTCTTATCCCTAACTACTCAGTTGTAGTTCTTTATCAGCTCTAAAGGTATTTCACTCTCCTTTCAGTTCAACAGTCCTGGAACACTGCTGGTTTGGACTGTTAACACTAAGAACTACCAAGTTGGATCTGTCTTGGCAAACTTTTGGGGAATTTTGATTCCTCTATAGGGTGGCATATTTCTGTTGACTGTACAACTGAAGTTGTTTGATTATACATATCAACTGCACCTGGTTTCTCTGTTGTTTCTCTACATTGTTCGGGACTGTTTATTTTTATTTGTAATCGCTGAAAAGATGGACATTATTCCAGTGAAGTTTGATGAAACCAACTACAGTATGTGGAAGTTCCATTTCGATTTCTTTGTTGAAGGAAAGGAACTTGAAGGCTATTTAAATGGGACAGTTTGTAAACTGAAGAAAACTGAAGAGAAGAGAGCTTGAGAGTTCAGCAATGAGGGTCTGAGAATGAG